TTCCCCTGCCTGCTTTTTACGTCACAGGACTACCCTAAGGAGGACGCTCCGGGCTGAGGTTAGGAAACCATAGTTGAACCTCACCAAGGAGGAGGAGCCAAGTGTAGAAGAAATCCAAAGAACCCGTGGAGCTCATAGCAAAGTGTGGCATGTTCTTCGGCCAAGGATTTTGTGTCTGGAGTCAAGAACCCTACGTTACAAACCCCAATCCACTGTTTCCCACCCACGTGGCCTCAGCACATCCCCCATCTCCCAGTGCCTCCTGAACGGGGGGGGGGGGTAATGATTCCCGGCTCCATGAGAGTCCCCGTTTGTTGAAGCCTGCATTCATTCAGCACATCTTTTTCAGCACCTGTGCTGAGCAGGCCTCAAAGCTGGGCGTGGTGGCCGACGCCTATAATCTCAGCATTTTGGGAGGCCAAGGCGGGAGAATCACTGGAGTGCAGGAGTTTGAGACCAGCCTGGGCAACATAGCGAGACCCCGTCTCCACAAAAAAGATTTTAGAATGGTGACGTGCACCTGTAGTCCCAGCCACTTGAGAGTCCCAGCTGCTTGAGGTTGGAGGAGGGCTTCAGCCCCAGGAGGTCAAGGCTGCAGTGAGCCAAGACGGTGCCACTGCAGGACAGCCTTGGACAACAGAGTGAGACCCAGTCTTAAGAAAAAGATGGAGGAAAGGCTGGCTTCGCACAGCTGAGTCCAGGGTCATTTCTCCTGGGCCATCCACATGCACGACACTAGTCATTCCGTCGGTTTCCTGGGAACCTTGGTCTTTCCTTGTTGTAAATTGGGCTCCCAGCCCAGGCGTGTTCATGAGCGAGAGCCCCAGGCCACCCGTGGAAGGCCTTTCCAGCAGGAAGAGGCAGGAACGTTTGCTCTGCTGGCTTTCCTGAAGTCATGACTCAGTCAGTGATAAGCAGTGTTGACGTGGGTGCCTTGCTGTAGTTCCAGCTGCAGCCCAGCTATCCCATGAAAGCAATGCAAATCAGTATCCACGGCGTCCCCCAGAAACACAGAGAGTGGGTCTCCATGGAGGCTCTGGCCACTGGAGCGTGGGACACGTGGTCAGCGTCCTGTCTCCAGCGTGGTAGATGTGCCTGACCTCCCGCAGAGGCTCGGGGGGTTCCCTCTGGGCGTGGAGATGTGCTGGCTGTGACAGCATGCTGGGGGTGGGGGGTGGGGCAGCAGGGCCTCACCCACCCGTCAGCTCCCCAGTCTGCTTTGTCCCTTAGGGGACTTGCTCACCTCTCATGTCCTCACGCCTGAGTCTTAATGGCCGTGCAAGCACAGAACAAGAGACAAAACCGGAGGCCAAGAGGAGGGTGGGAGACCGCACCTGAGACACCGCCATTATAAAACCAGGGACTTCAAAGGCCACCCTGTGAAAATGTAAACTGCCGGGAAGGGGGGACTGTGCCCTTAAAGGAGAGACAGTGACGGGGACGGTTCCAGAGGGTGAAGAAAATGAGCCTCCCAAGAGAATTCCTAAGCACAGCCACCTCTGCACAGGGGTGGGCGGCGTTTCACAGTGGGCGACACCTCCGCCCCCGCCAGGATGCAGCTGGCTCAAGGCCCTGGCCTTATCTCCTGCGAGCCCACCCTTCTGTGTCCTTCCCATGAGACTTCACCACATTTTATGAGTCAAATTGTTCAGACTTTAAAGGCCTGGAAGTGGCCATCTGCATCCTGTATTCACATCCCAGGTGGGGCGGGGGGCTGAGGATAGGGGAAAGCTCTTGGTTGGTTGGTTGGTTTTGAGATGGAGTCTTGCTTTGTCACCCACTGCGCCATCCACTTCCTGGGTTCAAGGGATTCCTGTGCCTCAGTCTCCCGAGTAGCTGGGACTCCAGGCACTGCACCCCCACACCCAGCTAATTTTTGTAATTTTAGTCGAGGTGGGGTTTCACCACCTTGACCAGACTGGTCGCAAACCCCTGACTTCAAGTGATCTGCCCACCTTGGCCTCCCAAAGTGCTGGGATTACAGGCATGAGCCACTGCACCCACCAAAAGCATCGTTTATTCACTGTATTTCCTGGGGCCTTTCACGGGTCTTTGAGGCATGGACAGGGGTTGGGGGGCCCGTAGAACTTCCTCTAGGATAAGGTGACATTGTGGACCCCTGGTTCTGGCTGCCTGTCCTCAAATCACCCAGTGACGAATGTGACTCCAGTGCAGGGAGCAGAACAGCCTCCCTCCCCTTCCCCAGAGGCGGAGGCTCCCCCGGGTCTCACGGTGGAGACCATCTCTGTGTTTGCTAGTTTGACTCTAACGGGAAGAATTCCTGAGACACCGTGTCACTAGCTGCTGGCTGCCTCCCACGTGACCGCTGAGGGGAGGCGCGGTTCAACCTGCTGCCAGCCGAGAGTCACTGCCCCCAAAAGCATCTTCCATTTTGGGATGAGGAGGATGTGAGGAGTGCCTGCGGCCGCACCTGCCAGGAACCTTCATGACAGCGTACTGGACCCTGTCGCCAGGTGGCGGACGTCGGCCTGTGTGAGCCCAGTAGCCGCCCATCCCCTTCCCGGGCGGCTGTTTTCTGAGTTATCACCGGTATGGGAGCATAGCGCCCCTGTGTTTCCAGCATCTACTCTGATTTCTCAGCAAAGAACAGAGAAGAGACAACAAACAGCAAGAAAGATCTCCCGGAACAGCCGCTCGGGCTCAGCAAAGGGCACACGCAAAATTAGAACGAGGGCTCCTGGCGGCTTCACCTCTGCAGGGACACAGGAGACAGGAGCCACAGTGAACACAGGGAGGTGGAGGTCTCAGGCAGCCTCGGCTCTTGCGTCTGGGGTTCCGGATCTGGAGACACAGCTACAGCTGGTCAAACAGGTGTCTTCAAAACCACTGTCACCACACGCGACCCGGCACAGGGCCCCCTTCTTCCTGCCTCAGCTGCCAACACCGGGCTACATTTACTTCTCAGCTCCCGAAACCGGACCCCAGCTGCAGGTCGGCGTCTGTTCTCTCGCTCCTTCTTTTCACTGCCGTTAGGTCTGTTTTTAGTTTGAATTCTGCTTCGTGGATGTCTCACCGCACAAACCACCTCAACACTTCATTTTGTGGGTTTTGTATTTTGTTGGACGCCCTCAGGACAGAAATCCTGAATAACTACGTGATCAGAATGTTGCGCGAAAGAAAGGAAGTCAAGCCATAAGTGATAAAAGTCTGACCACCGTGACCGCCAACAGACAGGCCACAGAGAGACTGTCCACGAACTTGGAAACTGAGTGCAAGTTCAAACGCTCCACAGAAATTATGCAGTCAGACCAGGTGCGGTGGTTCATGCCTGTCCTCCCAGCACTTTGGGAGGCTGAGGCGGGCAGATCACTTGAGATCAAGAGTTCGAGACCAGCCTGACCAACATGGCAAAACCCCATCTCTACTAAAAGTACAAAAATTAGCTGGGCGTGGTGGCACACACCTGTAATCCCAGCTACTCAGGAGGCTGAGGTAGGAGAGTCACTTGAGCCCGAGAGGTGAATATTGCAGTGAGCTGAGATCACACCACTGCACTCCAGCCTGGGCGACAGAGTGAGACTCCATCTCAAAAAAAGAAAAAAATAGTTATGCAATCAGAGGTTGAAATCATCAGCTAGATCCCTTCTGTGAACTGTTGCATTGTGATGAGACAGTATCTGCTCTGAATGGCTAAGTGCCCACCTGAGACCGATGTGGGCCCCTGGGGATACCTTGTAACCAGATGCCCCAGCCTTCCCCAGCTCTGGCCATCCCAGAACACTTGAGAGCCAGTGTTACAAGTCAGAGTGGTCAGGCCACCTCCTTGGCTGCCACCAGAACAGTTTCTCCACGAGGCTAAGAAATAGGTTTTCTAGCCCAAGAGACCAGGAAAAATATCTCCAAATAAATCTTATTTCAGGAAGAGTCTTGGATATTTTCTACCCAAGAGTTGAACTGACCAGCAAGAGAAAAGTAAGCCCTTCAGTGATGTGACATGATTATCAGAAACACCTGGCGTGGCTCATCTGGAAATAAATTGGGAAAAATCTTTTTTGTTGAAGAGGCCGTTTTTCTGTAGTCTTAATAGAGAACTGTGTCTCAATCCTAAGTATTAAACCAGCACAAGGCCATTCACAAATAACGTCTGCCTGAGTTCTGTGTATCCCAGGAACTTCCATGGCTAGGGATGAGGTTCCCATTTTACCGATTGGTAGGCAGCCGCTTGGCGAGCTTGGGTAACTTGCCATGGTGTGTCTTTTCCCTGATGCCCTGTCGGGTGACGGGTACTGGAGTGACCTGTCTCATCATCCAGTGGGAAATCCCCATTTGCTTTCTGGGGACGGTGGTTTCCTTGTTCCGGAATTGTAGGCAAATGATGGGAAAGTCCACTCATTTGTCCCACAGCCCCCAGCAATGGTCTGTGCCTTCCTACGGCCTCGGACTGGCCTGGTTGGCTGAAAATGCCAGGATCAGCATTCAAAACGCTTTGCCTAGTGAAGGGTTAAGTATGTTGAAATAAGCCCGGCCCGTACAGAAGCAGTGGCATTTACATCCTGTACGTTTATGGAAATCCTCGCTGAAGAAAACAACCACAACATTGTTTGTGTGTGTTTTTAGGAAGAGAATGGCGAAAGCGTCTTTAATTCACTGTTTACCCGTGAGAATTACTCCCAGGAGTAATCCTGCAATAAAATCTTCTTGGTCTATGAGAATAGAAAGAAATTGAATCAAAAGACTCGATTTCCACTTGTATTTATTCAGTCTGGGAAATTCAGTGGGCCGGAGTATTAGTATCAGCAGGGGATTCCTTTGCTCCTAGCGTTAAATTACTGTCATAATCGCTCAATTATTTCTTCCTTGTACTGTTTAAAATAAAAATCCATCACATTCTGTGTTTTTTTTCCCTAGCATTTATTAGGTTGAGTGTTTAGGAAAATCAATTATAGTCAGTCAGGCATGAATTGATGAATGTTCTTGTAATAATTGTCAGTTGTTAAACTGAATGTGGTTTCCCTTTTACCCCTTTTCATTTCCTTCAGAGGGCAGAGGTGGCTCAGAGAGAGGCGGAGACCTTAAGGGAACAGCTCTCATCCGCCAATCACTCCCTCCAGCTGGCCTCACAGATCCAGAAGGCACCAGACGTGGTGGGTAGCCCCGGCCCCGTGGGAGCCTGTCCCCGCCTGGTCTCTGCACCTTCGAGTTACTGCCCTTGCTCCTTAGCATCTCTTTTCGGGAATCACGTTTTAACCAGTACTGCTTTCTTGCTGGGGTTTGCTTCACCAACTGGGGGCTGGAGCTTGTGAAAGTCGAAGGAAGAGCTTTGCTGACTGTGCGTGGATGGGCCGAGGCCAGCGTGGCGTCCACCCGGACCCGAGGTGGAGGCTGCGCAGACACAGTCACAGACACAGTCACGATGCCCCGGCCAGGCCCTGGGGGGGTGACTGCTGGCACGCGGGTGGAGATCTGCACCCAGAGCCTCTCCAGAATGGCACGGGGAAATTGATGGTTTCTTCTCCTCCCGGCTGTGCCATCCCAAGATGAGGAACAGTTCAGGATGAGCTGGGGAGGGGGTGGGGAGCGGCAGAGAGGTTTATTATTCTGCACCAAGTTGATAGAGCAGGAAGAGCGGGTATCTCACCACTTTTTTGCAGCTTGATTTCTCTGAAATTAGCGCAAATGACTCTTAGCCCAAACATTCCCAGCTCCATCAAGGTGGCTTTGACCTGCCGTTTCCAGACTCTCCTTCAGTGCTGTGTATGGACAAGGAATAGTGTAAGAGCTAAGACGTTGGGTGTTGGAGCCTTACCCGCTGGTGTGGACCCCAGCTCTGTCGTCTGGTGCTGAGGACAAGAACATCCCTGAGTCTCAGTTTCTCTGCCTGTAAACTAGGGGGTTGACCAGGAAGTTATTACGGGCAAATAATTTAGAGCAAGGCTGGACACGTAATAAGATTAAGTAAACTTTAGCAGTAATTCTAGTTGTAATTGACACCATTATCTCTGATCCCCCAGTTTTAAGTTGCATGTTTTTTTTTTTTCTTTTTTCTTTTTTTTTTTTAAGACAAGGTCTCTGTTGCCCAGACTGGAATGCAGTGATGCAATCTAGGCTCACTGCAGCCTCCACCTCCCAGGCTCAAGCAATCCTCCGACCTCAACCTCCCGAGTAGCTGGGACTGCAGGCACACACCATCACACCCAGCTGATTTGGATATTTTTTGTAGAGACAAGGTTTTGCCATGTTGCCCAGGCTGGTCTCAAACTCCCGGACTTAAGTGATCCTCCTGCCTCGGCCTCCCAATGTGCTGGGATTACAGGTGTGAGCCACCACGCCTAGCCTGATCCCGCAATTCCTAGCACTCAATTTGATCACTAGTTCACTTACAAACCTCAGTTTTTCCTTGTGTAAAATAAGGATGAAGTGATCATAAGGCCCCTGTAAGGGAGCCCCTCATCCTAAGGCCACAATGAGTAATATCAGTTGCAGGAGTCCTTTTTTGGAACAATGACTCTGTTGAGCCCTTGCTGTATGCCAGGGCTTATAACAGAGAACCACAAGGAGTGAGATGAAGCTGGTTGCAGAGAGTACAGTCTCGTCAGAAGAACTCGCTCTTTAATAAATTCTTCTGTCAGTTGACAGTCATTATTTTCACCCATTCCATGAAACAGGGTACTGTTATTTCTTTTTTCTGAGACAGAGTCTTGCTCTGTCACCAGGCTGGAGCACAGTGGTGCAGTGTGAGCTCACTGTAGCCTCCGCCTCCCGGGTTCAAGTGATCCTTCCACCTCAGCTTCCCGAGTAGCTGGAACGACAGGCACGTGCCACCATGCCCAGCTAATTTTTGTGTTTTTAGTAGAGACAGGGCTTCACCATGTTGGCTGGGATGGTCTCGATCTCTTGACCTCATGATCTGCCTGCCTCGGCCTCCCAAAGTGCTGGGGGATTATAGGCGTGAGCCACCATGCCCGGCCAGGGTACTGTTATTTCTGTCTGTCTTTTTTTTTTTTTTTTTCTTTAAGATGGGGTCTTGCTCTGTCACTCAAGCTGGAGTACAGTGGCACAATCTCAGCTCACTACTACCTCCACCTCCCAGATTCAAGCAATTCTCGTACCTGAGCCTCCTGGGTAGCTGGAGTTACAGGTGCATATCACCACACCTGGCTAATTTTTGTATTATTTGCAGAGGCGGAGTTTCACCATGTTGCCCAGGCTGGTCTTGAACCCCTGTCCTCAGGTGATCCACCCACCTCGGCCTCCCAAAGTGCTGGGATTACAAGCATGAGCCACTACAGGGTCTCACTCTGTCACCCACACTGGAGTGCAGTGGAGTGATCATGGCTCACTACAGCCTTGACCTCCTGGGCTCAATTGATCCTCCCGTCTCAGCCTCCCAGAGTGCTGGGATTACAGGCATGAGCCATCATTCCCAGCCCCATTTCTTTGAATAAATGAAGAAACAAAAGCTCGGTGAATATAAACACCTCTTCCCAAAGCACAATCTAGTGGTTGAGCTAAGACCCGAGTTGGGCCTTCTGACACTCCAGACGGGGCTTTTAAACTATTCCCCAGCAATGATTCTAGATCAGGGTATTAAGACTCCCTTCTAAGAATGGATTTTTTAGCTTTCTTCTTAAAACTAACATTAAATAAAACATTTGTTGCCGGGCAGGCACAGTGGCTCACGCCTGTAATCCCAGCCCTTTGGGAGGCTGAAGCAGGAGGATCACTTGAGGCCAGGAGTTTGAGACCAGCCAGGGCAAAATATCAAGACCCCATCTCTACAAAAAATTGAAAATTAGCCAGGCATGGTGGCATGTGCCTGTAGTCCCAGCTACTCAGGAGGCCGAGGCAGGAGAATTGCCTGAACCCAAGAAGCAAGGCTGGGTGTAGTGGCGCATGCCTGTAATCCCAATACTTTGGGAGGCCAAAGTGGGCAGATCACCTGAGGTCAGGAGTTCGCGACCAATCTGGCCAACATTGTGAGACCCTGTCTCTACTAAAACTAGAAAAATTAGCTGGGTGTGGTGGCATGCACCTGTAATCCCAGCTACTCAGGAGGCTGAGGCAGGAGAATCACTTGAACCCGGGAGGCAGAGGTTGCAGTGAGCCCAGATCATATCACTGTGCTCCAGCCTGGGAGACAGAGCGAGACTCCATCTCAAAAAAAAAAAAAAAAAAAAAAGGTATATATGATTGAAGTGTTTCCAGATGTAGAGAAAAGATTTCCATTGAACAGGCCATCCTGTCCTTCATACTTCATGAACTCTGGGACTTAATTTTAACTGAAATGTCCCCTTGGCTCTGTTACCATTCCTTCCTCGAAGTTTAGACAAGCTGGACACAGCCCCATAATGGCTGCGGTGGGAGGCGGCCTTCGGCACCGGGACAGTGGCTTCCCCTGGCCCCTGGGGTCCCGCTTGGTACTGCAAAGGAAGTCGTCCATTCTGATGTGTCTACATGGGGCCCCCAAGCTCAGTGTTTTGGTTTAAAAGAATTCTGGCACCATCCTGGACTGCAGCAACCAAAACATTTCAGAAGGAAATGAATGTTTTTGCAGGTAGAGTCGGTTGTAGATCCTAGGGGCGCTTCAACACTTCATCATCGGTTAAGTGCCTTGTTTACATGGCACCGGTTCAGTCTCCCCAGAGGAGCCCCACGGGGCTTCCCGCAGGCTCGTGTTCCCACATAGCCAGTGGGTTCCCACTGCAGCCAGTTGGGAAGCAAACCTACGTAACTGGGCCAGCGGAAAAATGGTCTGTTGCGCTTGGCTGGCAGAACGCAGTAGAGAAACAGTGGAGTCTGTAGATCTAGCGAAGGCCAAAACCCACCCGTTGGGTATCCCAGTAGAATCCCCGATTCTAGAAGACGAGCGGTCACTGAGTGAGCTGCCGCCCCAAGTTTGTGGTCACGCTGTGTTTTGCCTAGTTCTTTTTTATTTCTTGATTGCTTGAACCCAAGAGGCAGAAGCTGCAATGAGCTATGATTGCGCCACTGTGCTCCAACCTGGGCAACAGAGAGAAGCCCTGTTTCCAAAAAAGTAAATGAGGCTGAGGGTGGTGACACATGCCTGTAATCCCAGCACTTTGGGAGGCCAAGACGGGCGGATCACAAGGTCAGGAGTTCAAGACCATCCTGGCCAACATGGCGAAACACCATCTCTACTAAAACTATAAAAATTTGCTTTTGCTGGGTGTGGTGGTGTGTGCCTATAATTCCAGCTACTCAGGAGGGTGACACAGGAGAATCACTTGAACCTGGGATGCGGAGGTTGTAGTAAGCCGAGGTGACGCCACTGCACTCCAGCCTCGGTGACAGAGTGAGGCTCCATCTCAAAAAACAAAAACAAAAACAAAAAAACAGATAAAGGCAGGGCGATCATGTCTGTGTCATTTCCAAGGTCTTACTGCTTTGGGGTTCATTATCACCTTATTTAGTTCATGCAAGACAGCGATGATTGTTGCTATTTTATGAAGGAGGAATTTGTGACTTTACTTCCTGGGAGTTGGCCAGTGTGGCCAAGCTCTTGTGGCCACACCCAACTGGACCCAGGAGTTGAACCGACAACCACACGCTCCCCAGTTCCCACTCTGTGTCCAAGGACAGCACTGAAATCCACACCTTTAACCCGTGCCATGAGAAGCACCTGTCCTACATACACTCACTTCCACTTGCCCCTCATAAAGCCCCCATCCTCTTGGCTGGTTTTATTGACCTTCTCCTAAAGGTCCTCTAAACCACATCTACGGCCGTCACCCCTCAGGGGTGGAAGATTAGGATAATCATGGTTCGATCTGTGCCCAGACTGACCTCCCTGCATGTCACTTCTGCGTGTCCCCTCACGCCAAAGCTTGCAGGGACTCCCCAGGGCTGCCACCACATGTCCAGGTGCCTCTGGCCACCCCTGGCGGCTATCACCCCTCCAGCCCTGCTCCCGACTCCTGTGTCTCTGCACCTGCCTGTATGTCCCCTGCCCTTCCCCAGCCCCCACCGTGAGATGGAGCCCCCTTCCTTCCTTCCGAGGCCCACCCCTCATAGCTCAGCCCCACGTGCCACTGTCCTGGTCCTCCTACCCTGGAGGGCACATCACAGGGTTCCTGACGTTGGCCCTGTCTGGCGTTATCTAGAGCGGTGCTTTCCAAACTCCCTGTGATGGACAGTTGTGTTTTGTTTTTTAAATTTCCAGTCTGTGGCAGACCGATCGTTTTATATAAAAGACATTTAAAATGTCACCGAAATGCCGAATCGCTATAAAAGTTTCTAAACACTTATTCTCGATTTCCGTAATTGCCTCACTGTGCACCGGCAACAGTTTGCAAATTGGCAACGATCCATGCAGCTCACGCTGCACAGAACGGGCCTGGACTGCCTGTGCTTGGGAAATCAGCCGCAGGAGATGCTCGCTGGCGGCCCCCCCAGGGCCACACGTACAGCTGTCACAGGTCAGGAGAGCTGCGCCACCTATTTCGCAACCTCATACAAATCAGAGAAGCAGGAAGGAGTCCCGTCTTTGCACACAAAACTTTACAGACTTAAATAGCAAAGGCCTTCGTTTTCCCCGAGGGAGATGTGAAACATTATTTCCCTGAGTGACTGGCTGTCCCCAAATTTGAAAACCCGTGACAAGCACACAGAGCCACCATTTCCCCACAATCCAGACAAGATCAGGATGTGCAACTGAGCACTTCAGAGGGGGACAGCAGCAAGGACAGTGGCTTTCTGTGTTACAGCGTGAGCTGCTCCTGGGATTCTGCTGTCACAGGCACCGTGCACCTCCGCCCTCTCCACCCCTGTCTCCATTCATCATGCCCAGAATTGCATCTGCCCTGCAGAAAATATTTCAGAATATTTCAGGAATCATCCCTTTTTTTTTTTCTGCTTTGACACAGACTCTTGCTCTGTCACGTAGGCTGGAGTCCAGTGGTGTGATCATGGCTCACTGCAGCCCCAACCTCCCCAAGCTCAAGTGATCCTCTGGCCTCAGCCTCCTGAGTAGCTGGGACTACAGACACGCACCACCATGCCTGGCTAATTTTTGTATTTTTTTTTTAGAGATGGAGTTTCACCATCTTGCCCAAGCTGGTCTCGAATTCCTGAGCCCAGGTGATCCACCCACCTCTGCCTCCCAAAGTGCTTGGATTATAGAAGTGAGCCATTGCACCTGGCCCCATAATTACTTTTAAAGCTTGAAAAAAGTACTACTTGAGTCATTGAGAGGTAGAATTACAGATCTGACTTTTTCTTTTGTTTTTTTTTTTCTGAGACAGAGTTTCACTCCATCACCAGGCACCAGGCTGGAGTACAGTGGCGTGACCTCGGTTCACTGTAACCTCCACCTCCCGGGTTCAAACAATTCTCCTGCCTCAGCCTCCCAAGTAGCTGGGACTACAGGCGTGCACTACCACGCCCAGCTAATTATTTTGTATTTTTAGTAGAGATGGGGTTTCACCATGTTGGCCAGGATGGTCTCAATGTCTTGACCTCGTGATCCACCCGCCTCGGCCTCCCAAAGTGCTGGGATTGCAGGTGTGAGCCACCGCGCCCGGCCGCCTTTTTTTTTTTTTTTAATACCTTACCTTTTTTCTATTTTGCATATTATCCACAATGAGCATTTGGTAAGGTTAAGGGTGGGCAGCCAGTTTTTTAAAAATCAATTATCCTAAGATTTCTTCAACAAAAGAACACCAAGTACACATCTTCCACATCTTTTACTCTTTGTTACTAAGAAGAATGTTGGCCAGGCACAGTGGCTCATGCCTATAATCCCAGCACTTTGGGAGGCCAAGGCAGGCAGGTAAGTTGAGGCCAGCCTGGTCAACATGGTAAAACCCCATCTCTCCTAAAAATACAAAAATGAGCCAGGTCCATGGTGGCACCTGCCTGTAATTCCAGCTAGTCAGAAGGCTAAGGCAGGAGAGTTGCTTGAACCCGGGAGATGGAGGATACAGTGAGCTGAGGTCACGCCACTGCGCTCCAGCCTGGACAACAGAGGGACCACGACTGTATCTCAAAAAAAAAAAAAAGAAAAGAAAATGCTGATACAGAGTAATAGTTTGTCAAACAATATCTCAGCTTCCGTGTAATTTAACAGCGAATATCAAGGACCTTGAATCCCACCTTTCGGTGGTTTGGGAGCTTTCAAGGGAGGCTCCCTCCTCCAAGCCCCTGACTCTCCATTCCCCTGCCTGGAACACTCTTCCCTCTTCCCTAGTGCCCAGCAGCCCCCGCCCCCCACCACCTCCCCCAGGTCTCAGCTTACGCATCACCATCTCAGCGAGTCTCTTCCTGGCCATCTTATTAAACCGCGGCCTCTCTCAACTCTTGACTCTGTGGCCTCTGTTTTATGTCTGCTTTGTCCGTCGTCACCCTGCACACTTTGCACTACTATTTTCTGCGTCTCGCTTACCCTGCCCCATCCCTGCTGGACTATAAGCCCTGGGAAGATGGACTTTTCTCCCTTTTTTTTTTTTTTTTGGTGACAGAATCTCACTCTGTTGCCCAGGCTGCAGTGGTGCGATCTCGGCTCCCTGCAACCTCCACCTCCTGGGTTCCAGCGATTCTCCTGCCTCAGCCTCCCAAGTAGCTGGGATTACAGGCATGCATTGCCACGTGCCTGTAATCAGCCCAGCTAATTTTTTGCATTTTAATAGAGATGGGGTTTCGCCATGTTGTCCAGGCTGGTCTCGAACTCCTGACGTCAGGTGATCCACCCACCTTGGCCTCCCAAAGTGCTGGGATTACAGGTGTGTAATCCTGGACTTTTGTCCTTTGACTCACTGCTATGTACTTTGTACATGGTGGGCAGTCAGTACCTATTTGTCCAGTGAATGAATCCAGGTGGCAGCTAACCACGGGGGGGAGGATGGTGGCGTAGGGGAAGTCCAAGCAAAGGCAAGAAGCGGTGTCCTGCTGTCACCACCCACACCCTGAGGTCTGTGCCGCTTCTGCCTTATGGCCAGTGCAGTTTTGTCATCTCATTTCTCCTCCCCAGGAGCAGGCCATAGAGGTGCTGACCCGCTCCAGCCTAGAAGTTGAGTTGGCCGCCAAGGAGCGGGAGATCGCACAGCTGGTGGAGGACGTGCAGAGACTCCAGGCCGGCCTCACCAAGCTGCGGGAGAACTCGGCCAGCCAGATCTCACAGCTCGAGCAGCAACTGAGCGCCAAGAATAGCACGCTCAAAGTAAGGGTGCCTCGGGGCTGGGGGTGGCCCGAGGGAGCGGGACGGGTGGCTGGACACTGCGCACACACGCACACACACCTGCTGCCTTCCTGGACTTGATAGCAAGCGTGGCGACCTTGAACCTCTGTAAAGTAGCTCCCAGCAGAGTCCTGGAGTCCACGGCAGGGAGACTGGATGTTGAACCCTGCCATCAGCCCTGGTGTAGACCGAATTTCCCCCTTTTTTTTTTTTTGAGATAGAGTCCCACTCTGTCGCCCAGGCGGGAGTGTAGTGGTACTATCTCCAGTCACTGCAGCCTCCGCCCCCCGGGTTCAAGCAATTCTCCTGCCTCAGCCTGCCACATAGCTGGAATCACAGGCATGCACCACCACACCTGGTTAATTTTTTGTTTGTTTGTTTGTTTTGAGACAGAGTTTTACTCTTGTCACCCAAGTCAGAGTGCAATCGTGCGATCTCGGCTCACAGCAACCTCCATCCACCTCCCGGGTTCAAGTGATCCTCCTGCCTCAGCCTCCCAAGTAGCTGAGACTACAGGCATGGGCCACCACGCCCAACTAGTATTTGTATTTTTAGTAGAGACGGGGTTTCACCACATTGGTTAGACTAGTCTTGAACTCCTGACCTCTGGTGATCCACCCACCTCAGCCTCCCAAAGTGCTGGGATTGCAGGTGTGGGCCACCGCCCCCGGCCTTGTATTTTTAGTGGTGATGGGATTTCACCATGTTGCCCAGGCCAGTCTCAAACTCTTGGCCTCGAATGATCCACTCACCTTAGTCTCCCAAATTGCTGGATTACAGGCGTGAGCCACTGCACCCAGCCAGCATTTCCCTCTTGACGGGCCATGCCTGTGTGAAACACACGTGTCTCCTGGCACTCAGTGGAAAGGTCCATCTGGTAGAGTCTGTCCAGTGTACTGCATCACCACCTGAGATCTCCTAAGACTGGGAATCTGGTCCTCAGCCTGGAAATTCTGTGGACTTTCTTAGGTGAGGTTCAGAGTGTTCGTCAAAGGTCGTCTACACAGATAGTCCTTTTACCCAATTTTTGTTTCGGCTTTTGTTTTGGATTTTTTTCTGAGACAGGGTCTCACTCTGTCACCCAGACTGGAGTGCAGTGGTGCGATCTCTGCTCACTGCAACCTCCACCTCCCAGGCTCAAGCAATCCTCTCACCTCAGCCTTCTGAGTAGCTGGGACTACAGGCACATACCATCGCACCCGGCTCATTTTTGGTTTTTTGGTAGAGACAGGATTTCACCGTGATGCCCAAGCTGGTCTCGAACTGCTGACCTCAAGTGACCCACCTGCCTCAGCCTCCCAAAGTGCTGGGATGACAGGCGTGAGTCGCTGTGCCCGACTCTAAGTGGGCTTTGCAGGGCATCCCGGCTTTCTGAGTATACCCGCAGGAGGACCTGGTACGCTGGAGCTCCAGCAGTGCGTAAGCCAAATGAAACCCAAGAGGTCCGTGGAAGTCACATCTGACCTTCTAAGGCAACAAGCACATTTTCCCTCAGTGGCCCCAAACCCAGTGCCACTTCAGTCCAGGGAGCCAGACACTCAGGCTCCCTCCCACCACGTACGCTTGGTCTTCTCCGTAAATTTGTATCCCAGACTCAGAACCCAGAACCTTTGCCACATATTAAAAAGTAATGATTTTACTTCAGGTATTTACAATCTGTTGAAGCAACTGTAATTTGAAGAGGGTCCTGGGACCCTCCATTGACAGGCTTCACAGCAGGGGAGACTCTCCAAGTTCTGTCTTGACGCCGTAGAAGGCAGGACCTTTAGGGCCAGGCCTCAGCCCCAGGCTGGGGGTTCTCAAGCGTTCAGGTCCGTTCCTTCCCCGACCCAGTCCCTCCATGTTGGGTGAGTGAGTGAATGACTGACTGACTGTAAGGTATATACATTCTATGAATAAAGTGCATCAGAGTTCATTGTGAAAATTTAAAGAGAACTTTTTCTGGTATGAAGGAGTCCTAGAATGTAGTTAGGTCCATTTCGAGTTTTTCTTTCCTTCTTTTTGAGACAGATTTTCGCTCTTGTCGCTCAGAACGGAGTGCAGTGGCGTAGTCTCAGCTTGCTACAACCTCTGCCTCCCAGGTTGCAACCAGCCTTTCATTCAGCCTCCTGCGTAGCTGGGACTACAGGCCCATTCCAACACGCCAGGCTAATTTTTGTATTTTTGATAGAGACGCGATTTCACCATGTTGCCCAAGCTGATCTGAACTTCTAATCTCAAGCGATCCGCCCGCCTCAGCCTTCCAAAGCGCTGGGATTACAGGCGTGAGCCGCTGCACCCCACTGTGAGTTTTGCTGGGCATCCCGGCTTTCTGAGGATCCCCCCGCAGGGGACCTGGTGCACTAGAACTCGGGCAGTTGCAGTACTGAAGCCAAATAAAACCCCAGGTCCGTGGAAGTCACATCCGACCTTCTAAACTAAGAGACACTCTCTTTCCAGCAGATCTGTTGCTGATGCTGATGGCTCATACGACCCTCCCTCACTCCTCCCTTTCTGCCTCTTTGGGATGAATTTCACCCCCTCAGTGAGAAACTGCCCAGAGCTGGGTCCCTCTGAGGAGACAGTCTGCTGACTGTGGGGAAACGGTTGGAATCTGGTTCCATCTGTCTTCATCCACATCATGTATTTATTTATTCTTGAGATGGAGTCTCACTCCATCTCTTAGACTGGAGTGCAGTGGTACAATCTCCGCTCACCGCAACCTCCGCCTCCTGGGTTCAAGTGATTCTCCTGCCTCAGCCTCCCGAGTAGCTGGGATTATAGGCATGCACCACCACACCCGGCTAATTTTGTATTTTTAGTAAAGACGGGGTTTCTCCATGTTGGTCAGGCTGGTCTCAAACTCCCGACCTCAGGTGATCCACCCGCCTCAGCCCAAAGTGCTGGGATTACAGGCATGAGCCACCGCAAGTCGGGTCATTTATTTCATCACCACCATTTCTTCCTCTCTCATCAGCTTGCCCAGTGAGTACCAGGATTCAGTTTTTATTTCTAGATTTAATCTCATTTTCTCATGTTACAGCAATTTCTGACCCCAGCAACAGCATCATTATGAGATAATTTCCCTTTCTCTCCATTGTCGAGTTAAAGGGCGTGACTCAGATACACGCTGGCTACAAGAGAGCAAGGCTATAGACCTGACATTTTTTATTATAGAACAATTTCTTCCAAATCAGTTAAGATTTCAATGTTTGCCTTCACAAAAAAAGGAAGCGCGGTTTTGCAAATTAGTGTTCGTTATCCGTATCTTGGGGGAATTGTTTAATACTGAGCAGTTAATGAAACAATTCGGCAATACTTCTTCCAAAATCGTTGCTACCTTATCTTCCTCTGATCTAATAATCAAAACATATCCTCTAGTAACAAGACTTCTGATTTTAATTATCTTAACTCCTGGTTGCCAGGAGTGTAGAGTTTGCTGATATCAAATCCACATGCAGAAAGCATTTGACTTCCTCAAACCAGGGTTTCCTCTTACCCCAAAGGAATAAGGTTAATTGAATGAGATCGTTTCTGAGCGCTTTTTCTTTTTCCTAATCTATAGTCTCGAGTATCACCTAAAGGAATACAGTTATTGGGAAAATATTTTTATGAATGAGATTTGGCGACTTGGTGACCTGATGCTCTCACCGTGGGGAACCCTGACCCCGCAGTCCTGGCTACTCAAAGGATTCACCTTCGCTTACCAAGGGGATGCTCTCTTTCTTTCTTCTTGTCCCCTTCCCCTCTTTCCTTTCTTACAAGGGACCCTGCGATGCACGATGGGACCCTGAATTAGGGTGCTGTTTGGGAGAGGAGGCGCCAAGCTCCCAGCTCTGGGCTGAGCTGTTTGGAGTCGTGGGTGGTTTTACGTGGGTCCTTGATCTTTGAGACATGTGCCAGGGTGTTTGGCGACAGTCCATTTGGGGAGAGGGTACTTCCCATAAGCAGAAGGCTTATTGGGCAGAATCTTTTTGTCTTGAGCCCATTGATTCTTTCCAGTCGCGCTTTCCAGTGATGCGCTCCATACTTGGATATACTGGGGAACTGACGAATTGGTTTTCTTTCTCTAACCCATTGAAATCCTCCATCTTACCGCCACCGAGATGTCTTCTCTTCCCGCGGATTTCATTTGTCATTTCACAAGGACACCAGGCAGCTGCAGGTCTTCCAGCCTGTCCTTTCTAGGGCTCTGCTTTTCCAAGCAAATACGATATAATAATACGAGGGAAAAGACGCACGGAGCCCACACGGCTCCAGAAGCCTAGCTGATGCTCCCCGGGTGGGTCCTGAACTGCCGGAAGAATTATCTATCTGAAGTTCTTAAAAGTCTGGCTAAGATTTAAACAACAACAAACTTTAATCTACAATGCCAACTATTTTAACATTAGCAAATTGGGTGTTCAATCCATAGATTGTCAGTTATATAGATACGTCCGTCTGCTGATGGCACCCAGCTATCCACGTGTGTCAGGGACATCCTCGAACCTTTAATTAGGCATGGAAACAGCCTCAGAAGTGGGAGACGTTTCCTCCTGCCTAATCTGACAAGCGCTTAAACACAGGGCCACTTGTAAAAGAGAACTCTGTTTTTGCAATTAATAAAATAACCCAACCGCCGTGACAAGGCTGCTTTTTGTTAACTCTCTATTCTGTGGTCTTCTGTTGGAACGCTTTAATACAGAGGCAGCATAATTAGCCAGTCAACGGCACTATACTTGCTACAGCGTAGAAAATAGTGCTACCAATAGCTTTGATTTGAAATGGGTGTTCGTAAGAAAGGCTAACTAAAAGAACCCCAATCTCCCAGAAGGAGAAATTAGATTTTTCTAAAGATGCTTTAAAGATCAGTGCTTCCCAGCTACGTGCAGTGGCTCATGCCTATAATCCCAACACCTTGGGAGGCCGAGGCGGGCAGATCACGAGGTCGGGAGTTTGAGACCAGCCTAGCCAAGATGGTGAAAACCTGTCTCTACTAAAAACATAAAAATTAGCCCAGCATG